GATATTAAATTGTTAACTCGAGTGTATCAACGTAAGGTTGGTACATTTAATGGTCCTTCGAGCCGGATTTATCCGAAAATCCGAATAATAAATCAGTGCAAACAAGTGAAGTGAGAGTTTGAAAAAATGACGAGTGTCGAAGTGCAGGCTATCATAGAGGATGATATTCCACTCGCTCAACGACAATTGAGACCTGTATTGGAATTACCAACCCAACATCAAAAACGTGTGAGAGAGTTGAAGAAGGCACTGATCAACTTTAATGGGCAAAATAAGTTGATTAAGAAATTTCTCTCCATCTATAAAAACAAGGAAGTAGAGGTAACTGAGGTCACACTGAGAGTAAATGAATACAAAGAAATTATGAAGGGTATTCGAGGAATATGTCAGGAATTTGAACAGTTAGATCCTGAGAACGAGCACCACTCTCCTGAAAGTAGGTATGACATCGAAGCGACATATTATGACAATCTCGCGGAATTTGAGAGACTGGTAGCAGCCCCACGCGGAGATTCGACCAGAGCTACGTCAGAACTTGATAACGAAAGCCAAAATCATGAACACCACAACTGTGGACAAAGAAGATTCAAATTACCAAGTCCAGACTTACCAGTTTTCAATGGAGAATACGAGAATTGGCTTTCATTCAAGGGAGAATTCGAAGCAGCCATCCACAACCAGTCTGATCTCAACCAGGTCGTGAAATTTTCTTATCTGCGAAGATGCCTTAAGGGCTCTGCACTTGACAAGGTCAAAATGTTGCCAATAACAGGAGACAATTATGAGAGAGCCTGGAATATTCTTAACGAAATCTACTCTAACGACCGACTCATCATTTCGAGACATTATCAATTATTATTAAATATTCCAAAACAAACTGAAGAAACAGCAACAGGTCTCACCAAACTAGTGGATGACACGAGGCAGCACGTCGAAATGCTAAAAACTGTAGGAGTCATCATCAACGATGAAACCATCGTAGCTATGGTGGAGAATGTTCTCCACCCAACAACCAGCGATGCATGGGAGGAGACACTCACCAAGGGGGTGTTTCCTAAATCTCAACAATTATTGGATTTTTTATCTCAGCGAGCATCTCGATTCATCGTACGGGACAATGCCAAAGTGAAAAAGGAAAATAAAACAGAAACCAGTATGCATAAACAAAGCCTAAAACGACCACATGCAAGGGCTTTCTATACTACCACAGAGGCGAAATGTGCAATTTGTAATCAAGATCAACACCCACTTTACAAATGCAAGAAATTCCGAACTCTGAATGTTCCAGGCCGCATTCAAATGGTAAATCGTCATTCATTTTGTCCAAATTGTCTGCGCACGGGTCACAGCAAGGAAGAATGCCCATCAAAACACATGTGCTGGGTATGTGAGGAAAGACACAATACTTTAATTCACACAGAGAAAAACGCAAACACTCAAAGTTGACAACCAATGGACGGCGAAAAGAGCGTGGTATTGGTCAACAATCAAGCTAGCAATCAGATGCTAATCACAGCCATCGTCAACGTGCTCGACATCAAAAAACAATCGATCAGGGCGAGACTTCTCCTGGACACTTGTTCAACAACCAACTTTATCACGGAAAACCTTGCCCACAGACTAAAATTGCAGAGAAGGAATTACTCAATTCCTGTGATTGGAATCAATGGACTCACCACGTACACCAAACACCAGGTAACAGCAACGATCAAGTCTACAACCAACAGGTATGAAAGAACGTTGACCTTCCTCACGATTCCCAAAATATCCGATCTCGTTCCATCGGAAGGCTGCCCTCGTGATTCCTTGAAATTACCAAAGAATCTGCGACTTGCAGACCCGTCCTTCTATTCACCAGGAGCGATTGATATGTTGCTGGGTTCAGGACCAACATTAGCCTTACTTTGCGTGGGACAATATGTGATTCCTCCTGATTTATATCTCCAAAAAACTCAGCTGGGTTGGATTGTGGGAGGCAGCGATTCTATTCCAAGCACCGATACTGCTCAACAGACCTTCTGTCTCACAACACAGTTCAATATCGAGAAATTCTGGAGACTTGAAGAAATTCCTAAGCAAAAATTCATCTCTCCGGAAGAACAAGCTGCAGAAAAACACTTCATGGACAATTATACCAGAGATAGGACGGGCCGATACGTAGTTGCCCTTCCATTCAAGGAATCAACACAGAAATTGAGTTTGACCAAAGAAATTGCACGCAAGCGCCTCCAATCTTTGGATCGAAAATTCATCCGGGACCCCCAGCTGAAGGAACAATATAGAGCAGTAATTTCTGAATACTTGGAACTGGGCCAAATGACGAAGATTATTGACGATAATAATGAAGGATTTTATTTACCCCATCATGCGGTAATAAAAGAGACCAGTCTGACCACCAAAGTTCGAGTGGTGTTCGATGGATCAGCCAGCACTCCAGAAGGGCTATCACTCAACTCTGCCTTAATGGTAGGCCCGACAATTCAAGATGACATCTTCTCTTTGATCACTCGTTTTCGATTCTACAAATATGTTCTAACGGGTGATATTGAGAAGATGTACAGACAATTTATCATTCGCCCCGAAGATCGCAAATACCAGAAAATTTTATGGTATGACGATGACAATGAAATAACAACTTATCAGCTAAATACAGTAACCTTCGGGCTATCCTCAGCCCCATTCTTAGCAATCAGGAGTCTCCAGCAACTGGCTCGAGATTACTCTGATCAATATCCACTTGCATCACATATTCTACAAAGGGACATGTACGTAGACGATTTGTTAACTGGCTTTTCTACAAAAGAAGCAGCCAGAGATGCTCAAACCCAAGTAACTGAGTGCCTACAACAAGCAGGTCTCAAAATACGACAATGGGCATCCAATGACATGAGCCTCTTGCAGCACCTACCTGCAGAGGATATCAATAAAAATCTCCAGCTTGACAGCAGTCAGGCTCTAAAGGCACTGGGGGTTTCTTGGAATTCACAAGCGGACAACATTTGTTATTCCGTCAAACCAATCATTCAAAGTAAGACAGTCACCAAGAGAATCATTCTATCTCATGTGGCTGCACTCTTTGACCCTCTAGGCCTTTTAGGACCCACCATCCTATTTGCAAAAAATATTATCCAAAAACTTTGGGCAGACAAAATAGAGTGGGATGAATCTGTACCAACCAGCATCCACACTCTATGGAACGATTTCTGCGAGCAACTCCCTCAAATAAATAATTTGGAATTTTCTCGAAATGTTCTGATTACAGATTCTACCACAGTTCAATTACACGGTTTCTGCGATGCAAGCGAGAGAGGATATGGAGCTTGCATTTATATAAGATCAAGCAATGCTAAAGGAGATATCCAAACGTCTTTGTTGTGCTCCAGGTCGAGAGTCTCACCTCTGAAAACTATTACGATACCTAGACTAGAATTATGTGGAGCCTACTTACTTGCGCAACTCTACAAGGCTATCAAAGAAGCTATTGAATTTCCAATTTCCAAAATTATTTTTTGGAGCGATTCTATGGTCGCACTCCACTGGATTGGTACCTCACCTCATCATCTGAAGACTTTTGTGGCGAATCGAGTCTCAGCCATCCAACAAGAAGCTCCAGGGATCGAGTGGAGACATGTCAGGTCCGAAGACAATCCAGCAGATGCATTATCAAGAGGACAACTACCAGGTGAATTGGTGAACAACAAAATATGGAGGCAAGGCCCTGCATGGCTGATGCACCCAGAAGACACATGGTGTTGGCAACCAATAGTGCCACTAGAGAACGATTCTGAGGTTAAAGTAGCTACCTGCCTTCATATCATCACAGAATTCAACTTATTCACTCGCTACTCATCGTGGATCAAACTCAGGAGGCACGTCGCAATCTGGCGGCGATTCTTCCGGTTCTTGATGAAGAAAATCCCATCAAAGGGGATGATCCAAGTGGGAGAATTGAAGGAAGCACAGCTGGTGATCATCAGGGTAGTACAGCGCAGCTCGTTCTGTGAAGAAATCAACTGGTTCAGCACTAACAAGACCAATTCACAATACAAAGGGAAACTTAAGACACTCAACCCATTCGTCGACAATCAAGGACTCCTGCGAGTTGGTGGCCGACTGCATCAGGCTGATATTCCCTTCGATCAGAAGCACCCAATCCTGCTACCCAAAAACAATCATGTCACCAATCTCATCATCCAAGAATGCCATTCCATCCAACTACATTCTGGAGTCCAGAATACACTCCAAAGTTTAAGACATCAATTCTGGTTGCTAGATGGACGATCTCAAGTACGAAAAATTATTCGTCAATGTGTACCATGTCTCCGAGCTCGGCCACCTATTCCTCAGTACACGATGGGTAGTTTACCAGCCACGAGAGTCAATGCAACAACACATCCTTTTGTTCATGTCGGAGTAGATTACTGCGGGCCATTCTACATAAAAGAAACGAAGCTTCGAAATCGTAAGGCCGTCAAGATATATGTAGCAGTATTTGTCTGTCTAACAGTGAAGGCAATTCACCTGGAAGTTGTGAGTGACTTGACAACCGAAGCTTTCATCGGAGCCCTGCGGAGATTCATCGGGAGGAGAGGTCGGCCGATCCTCATACAATCAGATAATGGAACCAATTTTGTGGGAGCGAATAGTGAAATGAAGAACATAGTGGCAGAGCTCCAAACACCAAAAAGCCAGTACAAAATCACATCAGAACTCAGTGCTAAGGGAATCAACTGGCGGTTCTCTCCCCCTCAATCTCCTCACTTCGGGGGGATTTGGGAGGCGGCTGTCAAGTCATTCAAACATCATCTACGAAGAGTCATGGGATCACAACTGCTTACATTAGAAAAATTCTCGACCCTTACTGTGGAAATCGAGGCTATTCTCAATTCAAGACCACTATGTCCACTATCCACTGATCCGAATGACTTGACAGCATTAACCCCAGGCCATTTCTTGATTGGGAAAGAGCTCATCAGCCTTCCAGAACATCATCTCCAAGACATCAACACCAACCGATTATCTTCTTGGCAACACATTCAAAAGATGCGCCAAGATTTCTGGAAACGCTGGTACAAAGAATACCTCAATGAGCTTAATATAAAGAAGAAGTGGACTTCTGGAGAACATGACATCACCATGGGGTCCATGGTATTACTACGAGATGATAATTTACCATCCATGGAATGGAAGCTGGGACGAGTCGTCGAAATCCATCCAGGCAGAGACGACCACATCAGAGTCGTCTCTGTGAAAACTAAATCGGGTATCTTGAAAAGGTGCATCAAAAAACTCGTATCACTGCCTCTCGCGACCTGGAGCCAACTCGCAGACGTGGAAGAAGGAAGCAATAACAAGACAACACAATGATCATCAGTTGATCGATGACTCTCTCAACGGGGGGAGGATGTTCCGTCTCCAACGAAAATTAATTTTCTTTTTTTT